TGCTTTAGCCAAAGACGAGGGAGCGGGAAGAAGAGACGCAGCCTTTCTCTTGAACCAGAGGTGTGTCAAGATGGGAAAAAAGCGGCGTGAAGGCCTGGTGCAGCAGAGCAGAGGAGAGCGACTGAAGGTGCAGCTGACCAGGGTAAGTCTTTGCAGCGCAAAGGAGAGGTGGCCGTTTCAAGGGGGGGGCAAAGCAGCATTCACAGGATGGGCGGCAAACATAAAGCCGTTTGCATGTTCCTTGAAGCATTTCACTGTGGCTGTTAAGGGATGGATCCTGTTCCTGAACCCCGTCCCACGAGAGCTTTTCTGCAAAATGGCAAAGACCTTGCCTCTTGTTTTCTGCCTCTTTGGGCAAATCCTCCTTTTGTAGGGCCGCCAAATTCCAGAGTTAATCAGGCCGGTGTGGGGCTCTGATGGGTCGTGTCTGTTAGCTGCAGGGGTTACTGGTGTTCTGGCCCACGCTCAGCAGGAAGGCAGGGGCGTCTGGTAAAGGTGGTTGAGATGGGGGCCCTGCGGGGCTGGGAAGCGAGTGGTGACGGGACTTGCTGAGGGAAGGCCTTTGCGCAGGCCCAAACAAGAGGGAGGCTGGGGGTGCAGAGGCTCATTTGCTGGGGCTACCTGACATAACCCCCCTGCTGCTTTTTGCTACCAGCGTGCACGAATGTGTTGTGCGCGCTGCGCAGGTCTGTGCCTCCTGCTGCCTTACGCAGAGAGGGCAGTTCTAAACCCTGCCGCGCTTGGGTGTGCTGTGGAGGGCTCAGCTGTACCGAGGAGCCAGCTGGGAGCCTCTCCAGGGGATTTGCCTGCCTCACTTAAGTGGCGACTGGGCAGGTATGTTTCTTTTCCTGTAGCATCAGTGCAGGCAGCGAGGAGGAGCGCTGGGGGCTGTGAAATGAATCACCGCTTATTTGTGCTGGGCCTCCAGGTCCTACTGTAGTGCAGGCAGAGAGGCACGGCGAGGTTAAGTGAGCCCTCCGCTCAAAACCCTGCGTGCAAGTGTCTACGCTGTGTCCCTGGGCTAGGATATTCAGTGCAGGGATGGCCCTGCCTTACTGCAAAGCCGTGCAGGAGTTAACTTAGCCCATGGCTGTATCCTGGCTTAGCGGGATCCCAGGAGATTGCTATGGAGAGCTGCCGAAAGCTGTCCAACTCCAGACTGAAATTTACAGTGCCTGGGTGCTCTGGGCCAGCGTATCCCTTCCTGCAGGCTGAGAGCCTTTCCAGCCAGGTGAAGATCAGTGATGGCTGGAGCAGTAACAGCACTGGGGTGGCGTGAGGAAAGTGCGCAGACTCAGCCCTGACGTGACTTGGCCGATGAGCAGTACAAAAATCCCCACAGGCCTGACATCAGCCCTGTCTCGCAAGTGCCTCTCAGGGCATGTGTACAGCTGAGTAGGGGAGATCAGTATCTTGTGTTTCTGCTGGTTTTTTAGAAGTCCTCTTCAGCTCCAGACCTGCACCGGGGACAGCACCCTGCACTGTAGTTAACTCGCAGTTCACAGCTGCCGCAGCAGCGCTTTGCGATACAAAGCCCAACAGCGAGTCAGTCCGCGTTAGCGCTGCACAGGCCCCGGCAATCCCGCGTCTATCCGGCGGGTGTCACCATCGGAGAGCTGTTCCCTACGTGGGACCAAGCTCTGCTGGCCTGGGTGGCTTGGCAGAGCGGGAGAGGGAAGGGCTGGCGTTGGGACACTGGCGCACTGCTGCCTCTGCTACCGCAGGGTACAGGAGAGCAGCAACTATGGCAGGCTGTGAGCTGCTCTGGTGATTCAGTTGTAACCATTGCCTCCTGCTCACAGGGGCTATCTTTCTGTTTCGTAGGTGTTCTGAGAGAGAGAACGTTTACTGGAGAGCAGGTGCTCCCTTCCCCAGCTGCTGGGGGGGGGGGGGGGGGGGGGGGGGGGGC